CCGATCGTTGCACACGTGAGAAACTTCCATTGTGCAAATTACATTTCGTCGTCGATATATATTAATAGAACTTTATACCAGTAACATTCAGTAAAAGGCACGCTATTGGAATTAAAAAATTTCTGAACAGATATGTAAATTTTTCATTATATTAAGATCGATCCTGCGTTTTGTAAACTGTCCCTGTTTACGTATGTTTCATCGTATTAAAATTAGGCATTTGTATGAAAAATTATGACACCAATTTATATTTTAATATTTTAATTTTAGTATTATATATTCATAATTAGTATTATATTTAAATATTAAAATTAGTATTATTTATTACTAATTTTTATTAGTATTATTTATTACTAAATTTAAAAATTAGTATTATAAACAAATATAATAATTAGTATTATATTTTAATACTAATATTAAATATTAGGCACAAATACTGATTGTATACCGATAAGGATACAATGAAGAATGTAGTTTCAACCCTCTACTTCCAATCTATTTGCAGAGTAAAAACCCTTTTTATAATAACAACCCTTGTATAAAAATGCTAGCAATAACTTTGTACAATAATTTTTGCGTCGAAAAAAAAGGAAAAAAATCCATGTTGACGAAACGGTTCCGTAAAATTTCGTTCGCCGCTGTGAAATTTACAACGAAACTCTGCCAACGATTATCGAGAACGGTACAAAGAAAATTTACACATAGAAACGTGTTTCACATACGTTAAACATTCGTTTTAGTATTATATTTATAATTTATTATTATATTAATAATTGGTATTATATTTTAATACTAATGTTAAACATTAGGCACAAATACTGATTGTATACCGATAAGGATACAATGAAGAATGTAGTTTCAACCCTCTACTTCCAATCTATTTGCAGAGTAAAAACCCTTTTTATAATAACAACCCTTGTATAAAAATGCTAGCAATAACTTTGTACAATAATTTTTGCGTCGAAAAAAAAGGAAAAAAATCCATGTTGACGAAACGGTTCCGTAAAATTTCGTTCGCCGCAGTGAAATTTACAACGAAAATCTGCCAACGATTATCGAGAACGGTACAAAGAAAATTTACACAATAGAAACGTGTTTCACATACGTTAAACATTCGTTCAACGTATGCCCGTGGCGCGATTGAACGCGAATCCCTGATAAATTCTATTATTTCACGGTAACAAGCGTTGGTGTTTTTGGATAAACGCGTAAACGATCGCCAAAATTCACGATCGAACTCGTAAATCGACACGCTGTAATCTCACGCTCGTCATCGATAATTAGTCAATAAAAGCGTTTTATCTCGCGTCGATGTTAGCATCTTTTTTTAACCACAGAACTGCCTCTTTTTATAATCTAAAGTCTAGTTTCAACATTTTATATTTTATATTTTATATTCTCTACTCCATTGCTTTATATTTCCAGTCATTCAACATTCGCGTTTCTTTTTTTAATCATTTTATTTATTTGTATAAAACTCCAATTAAATATTGAATGAAATTTTGTGTTTTACTGATCCACAAATTTTATTATCATTGTCCTCGATATTATTATTACACAAAAAGTTTGGTGTAAGAAGATTTCACTTGAAATGATCTAAATTAATTTCTCGCAACAGAAAAAAAAAAGAATGAGAAATTTTTAATTCCTAACGTAGTAAACATTAGCGAAAAAGTTAATGTCGCTTTCATCTTGAACATTCTACACGTGCCATGATTTATCCGCCAACGTACGTTGTTGGAATTTGTAAACGATTTAAAAATGATTTCAAGTTATAGGTAGGACTCGTAAATTATTTATTTTATCAGCAATTAAACTGATTGAGTTATTGTTATCATGTTTGTCTATTTTATAGCGTTACTTAAAAAAATTTATCTTGTTAAATGTGAGTTTTATAAAAAATAAAGAAGAAGCTATTTAATCGAGCAAGTAATATAATTTTTGCTATTCATGTTACTTCAGCTGAAACTTGGCAGTTACATTGGTAATTCTAATTTTCTATTACTGAAATCAATCAGAACAAAGAGTGTTATTTTATCTATTAATTTCTTCATTATAAATTCTTCACGTATTTCATTTAATTTTTCTGTAGTCATTCATGATTTGAACCAATTGAAAAGAAAGTTCCTTATATAATATTGTAATATTACAATATTACATTATTTAATTATACAATACTATATAGTGTAATAATTTATGTAATTTTTATGTAATACTATGTAGCGTAATAATTTATGTAAATTTATGTAATAATTTATGTAATTTTAATATTACAATATTACATTATTTAATTATACAATACTATATAGTGTAATAATTTATGTAATTTTTATGTAATACTATGTAGCGTAATAATTTATGTAAATTTATGTAATAATTTATGTAATTTTAATATTACAATATTACATTATTTAATTATACAATACTATATAGAGTAATAATTTATGTAATTTTTATGTAATACTATATAGCGTAATAATTTATGTAATTTTTATGTAATAATCTATGTAATTTTATTTCTCTGTTTATAAACGTACAATGATTAATAAGTATCTTATCTTTTCACATTTTTTTTAGATAAATTGAAACAAAAAAGTTTATTCGCTTTAATAAGTATCCCGAGTAGATACATATATCGTCTTAAACGAATCAAGTATCCTAACATCTGCCATTTAAGTACGACTCCAAAATCAATAGACAGCCTATATGCTCCTCTACGTTACAATCTGACCAAGAAGTTACGGAGTAACAATTTATTACAATGCAAAACGCAAAAGAAATTGTAGAATGTTAAAAAATAAAATTGTAATGTCCGTATGAAATTTTCCGTAATGAAATTTTGGATTGATGCAACGTTAGCTCTATTTAGAAATAAGAAAGAGAAACATTGTCATTTCGTTACGCGTCACCTTGTATATACGCGACGATAGGAGCCGAGTGTCTCAACGAGGGCCGCGTCGATGCGTCGGAAATTGTGCTCTGAAATTTTAGGGCGAGAGTCTATTAACGTTGATGAAACTCGTTCTCGCGATCGCGGCACCGGCCCACAGCCCGACGAAAAATTAGATAATTCAATCCCGGGCAATACGTTTCACAGAGTTACGTTTCGCAATACGCGTAATTCGCTCGCCATTGTGTCACGTGACACGTATACGTTACAGTTTGACTTTCTCATTTGAAATGACATGTACACACATATAACCTACAACAAAATTTTCAAAACCACACAATTTGCACTTTCCTTGTCACACACGCGGTTAATAAGTATGCATCGACGTCGTTTTGCAATTACAAGGTTTTTATTACGCCTACCTTTCGATACTCGTGATGCTTGACGCAGGACAGTGCTGCAGCCGTGCGCGATGAAAAACGACCGATTCAAACTTTCATATTTCACTGTGTAAACATACATTATACTCCGACTACGCAAACGAGATTCAAGCAAAACACTTCGTATCTTTCACGTGTTATAGTATGGCGAGATATAACGGACGAACCGGGACGAAAGAGAGAGAAGCGTGAACGCGACGCGCGAATCTTTAACGGTCCGTTGCAACGAACTCCCCGTAACGACTATCGAAATTTTCGGCGAATCGATTGTTGAGCGAGATCCATGATGGTGTCGGCAAATATACGATGCATGATTGAAAACACCGTTGATAGTTACCGTTCGCGGTGAAATCGGTCGAATATTTGTCGGAACGAGACGCATAACCGTGAATCGAAGGAAAATATCGAAAGTATCACGCAGTGCGAGAACTTTTGCTCCGTTATGCGAATACACGTGTACCTGCAGTACGTCACGATGGCCGCATGTAAACAAACGAGTGGTGGAAGCTGAATCGGTGTAACTGTTGAAAGAACAGAGCACACGGGAATAGTGTTAAAAGACAAGAACGAGGCGACGCGACGCGACAACAGTGGCCAATGGGTCAATATTAAACGGAATAGAGTAGCATTGATTATAACCTCGAGGGGAACGAAGTGACAGGCTGAGACAGCGCGGTCTCGAACAGGCTAGGAGATCGAGAGTCGAGCACCGAGATCGAGAATCGAAAAGAGAATCGGAGGGGACGTCGAGATTTGGAAACAGGCGCGGACCTGCAGTTTCTGCTTGTCTTCGAGAAGATGCACATCCTGATTATCGATGCCCTCGTGCCCAAATGGCACGGCATTCGGATGACCCATGAACCCCTTCAGGCCCCCCTGTAATCGAGGTGGCGCCGGTATTAGCAGCTCCGGTCCCGCTTTCTGCATGTGCTCGTACACACGGTAAACACTGTTCACTGCGGCGCCGCTGGTCCCCGCACGGAAATCCGGCAGAAAGAAGAACGTACAGAAACACACGACACCGAACGTCAAAAACACCAACAGGATCAGATACTTTTCACGCGGGCGGAACGACCGTCTCGAGAACAGAGGCACCGGTACACCGTTCACGAACCGCTGATACGATGGTAGAATGCTCGACGCCGTTGTCATTTTCGCGACAGTGTCACGCCACGCACGCACCAACGCACTTCCCGTTTTTACAACAGACGAAAACTCGAGCACTCGTGCGCGTTGTTGCCCGTTTCTTAGCCGTCGCACGCCATTACAAATACGGTGGTTCGCGAGCACCACCTGCTCGCCGAGTTTGACACTTCGTCGCAGCCCAAGCGCCAATCAGCTGGCGCGACTCACGCGCCAACTACGAACTGCGAGGACGCGTGATCGATCGACATATCGGCGGATGAAACGCACCGCGTTTCCTTTCGGTGGTAAATTTCAATGAATTGCAACCACAGACGAAATGTAGATACAGATACAGGCTCAAACGAGGAATACGAAATTGACCTGTGGAACGGAATAAGCTTGATATTTAATGCATTTTTGTGTCACAATGGTCACACACTTCGTAGGTTCTTACCATTTATGTGTCACATCCTACCGTACCGACGTACGTAGATTTTGCACCGCAGCGCTCCTAATAATGGGAATTAAAATCAAAAAGCATGAATAATATTACATCTGCATCGAAAATTATTTATTAAATTAAGCATGAACGCTTTCTTATTTGCCTAGTTATTTCAACAATATAATTATTTTCTATATAAATTAGCATTGTGTGTCACAGATTTATAAATTAGCATTTAGTACATGTCAACAGAAGAGAAATAACTTTGAATAATTGAATGAAATAATTATTTTAATTGTTTAATCGTAATATAAAAGTCGTGAAAATTATTAAATAATATCCAGAAATATTGTAGAAATAAAATAATTTAATTGTTTCAAATGAATTGTTCAAACTGTAAAATAATGCCTTTCGATTATATTTTTGTGTATCATTTATTAATTTTAACTATTTACTTATAACAATTGAATCAGTGATTGAATTCCCAAACATTATTTCATAGTTTGAATAATTCATTTATAACAATTAAATTATTTTACTCACAATAACGGAAAAGACAGTTATATAATATACATATTTCTTGCTTTCTGAAACAATAAACGAGCAAAAATTTTTATATGTTGTGCGATTATTTTAAAGAGACAATCAAGCCACTTAATATAATTTTTGACTACATAACTTTTCTCTACATATATTTCTATTTAATGTACAACAATGCAGTTATAATTTAAAAATTAATATTATGAAAATGTAAACTCAGTTTTAGCCGATAAAAAATTAATAAAATATTACGTTTAACGTTGTAACATATTCATGAAAGTGTAACTTTGCGACAGAAATGTAAAAACTATTGATTAGTATAATAAAAAACCTGTTTTTAGAAATACTAAAAAAAATTATCAGTTGTACCGGATCACCGACGACTGAAACATTAGATTAACCTTGAGCAGTCGGGAGGCTGATTATCTATTCAACTTTCGATGTATACACAAAGGTTAAATTTTAGAAGTTTGAAAAAAAAGTTATCAATTGTTCTAGATCACTGACGACGGAAATATTAGATTAACCTTGAGTGGTACGAAAATTCA